TGAACTTTTTTGATGTGTTTGTGAAACAAAAAAATACACGTAAAAAAGTTTCATATTGTGAACCGAATCCATATGAAACAAACACATTGTGAAACAAATATATGTTAATCATATGTTAAATAATATACTTATATAAAAAAAATCATGTAAAACAAAACCTTAAGGTAAAAATCCTCATGAATCTAACAGATTCTAAAAAAAACAATGACCAATCAACCCCTTCTTCTGAGAAGGTAGCACACATCAACCCTCACAGATCAAGAGTCATGAAGGGTTCCTACGGTTCCCACAAAATCTTGAATTCCTACAAGAACTTAATCGCTCTCTCACACACACACATATACACACATGTATACATACATACATACATACATACATACATACATACATACAACATACATACATACACACACATACATACATACATACATACATACATACGTACGTACATACGTACGTACGTACATACATACATACATACATCTTGTTACATTCTTCTTAGCTGGTTTCTATTTTTAGCTTACAGTAATATAAAAAAATCAGTTTTTTACTTAAAAATTTAGAATTTAAATTAATGTTATTTATGATCTGACTTAACAAGATCATTTCACCAACCACATATTAGTTTGATGTGAGTTAATTCAATCAATCCAAACGGACAAAATTTACTTTATATCATCATGTTTTCCTTGTGGTTGGTGGCATCTCCACGACACAGTGTTTTAATATTGTTTAATAATCAAACCCACGTGAGTTTTCCATTGACTGTACAGCGATACAACTCATAACTACATGGTTTAACAAAAAAACTGAAAGTACATAGATCATGATATTTCATCTGTTCATAACTTCAGTTATCAGTACACACTCTTACAAGATATCGAGAATCAAACACCCAAAAACACAGAATTTCGTAAACAACTCTAAACAAACTTCTGATAATAACGTACAGATTTTATACCGTAACTGTTTAATCATTTTTTCTGTGTTTTTGAATTTCAAGAAAATCCAATGTAATTTCTTGATGTACTCCACTTCTCTTCCCACATTCATTCTCAACCTCTAGTTTTCAATTTAGTGGGAATCATCATGTTTTTTTGAGTTATTTGTGTTAGTTGGTTTCTTAAATGAACAAGGAGGGCATTAATGGGTCAATTAATGGGCTGGGCCAGTTGGGCCTACTTTCAACACTTACCACTTTGGATTGTTGCAATGAATTGAAAAGCATTAAATGGCTTTGCCATTCTTTCTCCTTCCAATTCAAAAACCTCGAATTCCAGAGTAACTTACAACTTTTAATGAACGATGTACAACTCAAGAGAACAAGGTTGTTCTGAGTTTAGTGATTCCAAATCTGGAAAAAGAAGTGGTGTTTCCTTTTAGCCATTGATTTTAAATCACTGTGGCATTGGGTTTATTTTTTGCTATGCCATTTTCATGAAAATCTTGTGGCACAACTTTAAAGGTCAAAACTATGAGATATAGATGTGAAAATTAATACAGAAGGGGAAAAACTGTAACGTATGGGTTTTTTTACAGAGTATTGTTTTGCTTAAAACGTATGTAAGATACCAAATACTGTGTATGTAGAATACGAATGACTTTTTAGACTGTTTTGAATTACAATACAGTTATGTATTACAAAATCCCTGAATTCAAATATGGACCAATTTTGATTGGACAGTGTATGCAGAGGTGGGGCAAGCTAAACATAGGGTGTGAGACCAATACGTAAAAACGACCCGATAGTTATTGCGTTGTCGTTTCTCTTGTGGGTTTTTACAATTTACACCCCTATATTAATGTTAAAAGTAACAATTAGTCCTCCAATAATCTACAGTCAAATGCTATGAGATGGGCTGAAAAACAAGGCCTTAATTACCAATAGGCCCAATTTTATATTCATTTATAGTGGCCCATATAACCAAATCCAGATTCTGTCTTTTGGGTCCAATGTTATATATATATATATATATATATATATATATATATATATATATATATATATAGGGAAGCATTCAAATAAAAACCACTCAATTTGTATAAACCGTGAAAACCACATTCAACCAATCAAAATTTTTAATTTTGTTCATTTTTTTGTAATTATGAGAGGTTGATTAACCATTTTTATTGTTGAGGGTGTTAATCATGGATATTATCGTCTTCATTATTTTAATTTTAGAAAAATACATGAAACAGTTTCATTAAAATTTCATTAAATATTATATGAAATAATTTTATAACCATATATGAAACAAATTCATCAAAAAAAGTATTATATGAAACAATTTCACAAGATTAAACAATTTCATGAAAAAATTTCATAAGATTAAATAATGAAATAAACGTATGAGGGTGGTTTGTACGGTTTACACAAATGAGGGCGGTTTTCATTTGAACGCTCCCCTATATATATATATATATATATATATATATACACACACACACACACACATATTTATTAACATGAATATCCAACCCGCTATGCGAGCCAACTAATCCCATGGCGATCACCTGCTTTGCAGATAGCTCAGAGTCACCTCATTTGAATCTCTGTAGCCACAAGGGGAATTTTATTTATTCTTGGATTTGAACCTGGGACCTCCTGATACTTTTGATCTTTGGAGCCAAGCTCAAACCAATCAGACACCACCCTTGTGGTTTATGTTAACTATATTTGTTTATGGTAGAAATGGTTGAAAATCGGTTCAGGGTCGATTTCAAATCGGTTCCTTAAAAACGGATCGATCGGTCCTGGTCTTGATCAAAAATTCCAAAATAGGCTTGTTTACTGGTCTCATGCCCGCTCAGTTTTTAGAAGAAAAAAAATATATTTTTAAATCTTTTTACACAAAAATGTTATACGTTTTTCTATAATTACGATTTTTGAAATTTAGTATTGAAATACACTTTAAATAATACATTTAAGTAGATAAAATTTTGAAAATCTTGTATTATGATTTATAAGAATTTTTTTTAAATATCGGGCTTATACATAACCGGTCCCAGGCTAAGATCTGGTCTTGAAATTCCATCGAATATGTAACCAATCCCGAATCGTCGGGCCAAAACTGGTTCCTACGTGTCACAGTCAGTCCCGAGTTCGTCATGGCCAATTTGGCCATCTCTAGTTTAATGTAAAGTAACCGAGATGAAATTTAGTTTTACTAGGTTAATTAAGTGTATTGGTTTGACGTTTTCTTGGATTGGAATTAAACAAAAAAACAGGTTAATCAGCTAGTCGATTTTTCTGTTCAACTAAAACGACCTTAAAGTCATTGTTTCATTAACTTAAAATATGTGCATATTTTAGGTTTCGGGGTTTTTAGATACCACTAGTCCACTACATGTTATGCAATAATGTTATCTTGTTGTAGGGTTTTGGGCCTGGTCCATGTTTGTATTACTAAAATTGGGCTTAGCGTAATGTCTTGTTAGGCCAAACCCGCATTTGACCCGACCTGGGACCGGTTATGATTGATTATTATTATGGAGATTTCGAAGGCCTGGCCCGGCCCGGCCCGAATTTTCAAATTTTAACCATTGACCAATGGTCATATGACCGTTCCCCCCGTTAAAAATTTGACCTCTTTTTTGTCATTTTGGCCTTCTAAACATTATATACAAATGTTATGGTATACGGGATAAGATATCAGCTTACAAAATACAAAAAAACGCAAAAAAAAAAAAAAAAAAAAACGTTCACAATTATCGCTATATTTTGTGATTTCGGCTTGTATTTGTTTATTGCTTCCAGTTCTCAATTTTCATTTCTCTCTCTTTGTCCTCCAAAATGGTCGGTGAACAACATGTAATTTTAAATGATTTACTAAATTAAAATTATAATAAAACGTATTTTTAAAGTATATTTGAATGTCCCAATTATATATTTTAAAATCTATTATTAAAATCTATAAAAATATAAAAAAAAACTTAGGTAGGACCGGTTTGGGCCCAGAATCGGGATCGGTTACTTTAATCGGTTACCCCATCCCTTAACTAGACCTCCATATTATCGACAGAACCGAGACCGACTACACCGGTTGTATGTGTCATCACCAGTTATAACCATATTCACGTTGTCGTGGCTTTATGTCCTGCCAACTATAAGAACGGGAATTTTTTCCAGTTCTGAAAACAATAGCAGTCATGTACTTTCAGACTTTCAGTTTATCTAAAACACAATTTTATTCGTAGAATTGAGATGACCAACAATAATTAATAAAGACAGCGTAAAAAGTTACAAATACATCGATAACTTTTTGCATGTTATACATGCATACAAGCATTCGTTATCATGGTGTTTAAATCTGGCGTTGTGGAGGGTAAAAGGTAGGACTGCAAATGAATGAATTGTGCTGTCTGCGAAAAACACTGTAATTAGTTTTGATGCTCGTATTTTCATGGAAGAAAAATACTGTTCATATGAAAAACACAAAAATGGGTCGCGGAAGACGTTAGCTTTTGTTGCCACTGTCAATTTTACTCATTATGAACAAAAAAAATCTACATAATAATTATCTCTCAACGTGTTGTTGCGTTTTCCGTTCAACACTGTTTCATTGCGATCACTGATGAGATCACATTTATTACACTTGAAACTTCACAACAAAACATCGTGAAGGTAAATATAATCCGAACATTCACAGCAAAAACATTGTGAAAGTTATCTTCATAATGTTTTACTGTAAAGTTTCAAGTGTAAAAAAATGGTCTTATAGGTCTAACGAGAACAGGCTGGTCTCACATGATTCTAAGTCTACGTTGTTATGTCCATTTTAATTGTCATATAAAAAATCGTAACACCGTCCTTTTCTGATTTAAAATTTTGTTTACAGAGAAAATCGTCAATTTAAAATCTCTAGGGGTGTGATTTGAAAATATCACTTGACCTTTTCTAATTTTCAATTTCGCCCCTTGTAGGTTATAATTGTTCACTTTCTTCCTATTTGCTCTCTCAACTCTCAAACAAATCGAGAGCTCAGCTCAAACCATAAAAAATGGCGTTGACTCTGAAAACCATAATTCAATTTCCAATATTTGCTTCACCACCACCTCACCAGCCCCACCACCACCGGCCGGCCACCGAAATCCGCTTCTCGCGGTGGAACAATGCCAACGCCCAGAAATTCATCCGCCATGAACGCACTCAGAAAGAAACCGAAGACGAATTGCGATTCATCAAACGCTTCGAATCTGCCGGAAAAATTGCCAATCTCCAACCCACCAATACCACGCCATCACCATTCAAGTCCACCGGGACGCCCTCAGCCCCTTCCCGCCCTTCAATTCCAGGTAAAAAATCCAAATACTCAAAACCCCCTCAAAACCCTAATCCGTCATCTCATCCTGCATTCAAGCGAATTGTAAGGACTAGAAAGCTCCCTACTGAAAACGAAGATGAAACCGGTATAAAACTCGGCGACAAGGGGCTTTCTTATGTAATTCCTGAAGCTCCTTTTGAATTTCAATATAGTTATACCGAAACCCCAAAAGTTAAGCCTATAAAACTCCGGGAACCACCAATAACGCCGTTCGGTCCGGGCACCATGCCGCGGCCGTGGACGGGGAAAAAGCCGCTGCCACCTAGCAAGAAGAAGATGGATTTTGATTCTTTTACTCTGCCTCCACCTCATAAGAAAGGGGTTAAGCCAGTGCAAGCTCCAGGTCCGTTTTTACCCGGGTCGGGTCCTAAGTATGTACAGTCGAGAGAAGAGGTATTGGGGGAGCCACTGTCAAAGGAGGAAATTGATGCTCTTATTAAAGGGTGTTTGAAGTCTCAAAGGCAATTGAACATGGGTATGGTTTTTTCTTGATTAATGTTACTATATGTTTAGAGCTGTATTTGGATTGGTTGATGTGTTTGTTATATTGATGTTATTGGCGAAAACACTTTTTTTTATGTTTTCTGAAAACAAGTAACATAAACTAGTTATGGAAGTTGAATTTTGACTCATATTGTCCTGTTGAAGATTGTGGATATGATATAGATTCATAGTTTCCAATTAACGTGTCTTAATTGTATTTTTAGATACCCAAATAGGTATTTTGAAGCTTTGTTTCAATTCTGCCCTTTGTTTATTTTCCTTTCCTACTTACATTGAGAAGCAACTGGCAAGGTCAACGGTTTCGTTTGTCAGCCGAAGGGCTGGTCTTGAATCACTGAATGGACCTCCCTTTTCTAACTGTTCAGCGTGTTGAGGGTACAAGCATAGCTTTGGGTTTGCAAGTTGCTTTGGGGTTATTTCTTGCATGATAAATCTTCTATATGGTAGTTGTAGTACTTTGCTTTGGATGTCAAACGAGCTACTTTTAATTTCCGACTTGATATGAATATCTCTTATTTCTAGAAGAAATAGACAACCACATTGAAATTTCAAAGAAGCATTATGAATAGCCATATAAGAAGATATGGTTGTTGTAAGTTTGACAAATCAATGTATGACGAATAATGGAGAAGGGATTGATTATTCTTGATTTAGTTTCAAATCACATATTGATTAGTCTTTTTCACCTTCATGAGTTCAACTTAACCTCTTGGTATATGGTGACTTTCCAGTCACCAAAATCGACCAAAACCCAAGGTTAAAACAAGATTGGGTAAGAGCTAAGATATTGGCAAAAAGAAAGAAACTGATAGATCATAGAAGCTTAAATGATAAAATGATGATAATCTCAAACCTAATGTGGATTCAAGAATTTAAGAATTTGAGCAGTTTCTTAACGTCATTTGGGGCTTTAATGTGAATCACAAATTCTTTTTTGTGGTTTTAAGCATTTTCCTTATGCTGGTTTTCTTCCGGGTCTCTGTGTGGTCTGGCACTGTTGTGTTATGTTTAAAATGAACTATATTTTATTCATTGTTTATTTATTTTCTATGTTATAGGTAGAGATGGATTGACACACAATATGTTGGACAATATCCATGCTCATTGGAAACGAAGGAGGGTCTGCAAAATAAAATGCAAAGGTGTGTGCACGGTTGACATGGACAACGTACGTCAACAATTAGAGGTTGGTGATAACTAGTCTTTCGAGTTAGGCTGCCTTTTTGCTTCTTTTTTTTCTTGCATCTGTAGAATTTCTGAGGACTGATATCTTTGTGAAGTACACCCTCTGTCCCAAAATAGATGTTCACACTGAAAAGGCGCACAGTTTTACAAATGTGTAATTATTACACTTTTAATTAACTAAATGATAATTTTATCTTTAATAATAGAGGGGGTAATGAGTTTCTCCATCTCATAATTAAGGGTAGGCCAAAAATCGGTCCCGGTCCCGACCAAAACCATGGCCCGGTCTACATGTTCTGCAACCGCTCTCTGGAACCGGTCCCGGGCTGGGCCCAAACCGGTCCCAAGTTTATAAAAAAAAAGAGTCATTTTTGAACGTAAAAAAAATCTTGTTTGGGAATTTCCTTGTTTTTGGACCATATCTTATTAAAAGACACTTTAAAATCTCTAATTGGGTCATTCAAATAAACTTTAAAAATATTCTTTTAGATCTTTTTTACACAAAAATGTTATAGATGTTTCTATAATTACGATTTTTGAGATTTAGTATTGGAACACTTAAGAAAACTTGAAAAACGTCAAAAAGAACTTGAAAAACTAAAAAAAAAACTTGAAGTTTTTGGTAAAAGAACTTGAAAATCTTGTAGAAATATAGAGAAACTTGATATATAATTTTTAAAATCTTATTTTAAAAAAATCGGGCCTATGTATGGCTGGTCCCAGTCCTGGTCCTATAACTGGTTCCGAGCCAGGACGGGCCGTGAATTTTCATAAAAAGCGTAACCGGGCTGGGCCAGGCCCAAATTGGTCCTTCCTGGTCCCAGTCCTACACCAGTCCCGGGCTGGACCAGGTCCATTTTTGGCAAAATCTCTAAGTAAGGGTAGAATTGGAAAATAGGCATTTACGTTTGGAAGTGGACACTTATTTTGAGACACACTAAAATAGAAATGTGTACACACTTATTTTTGGGTCGAAGGGAGTATAACTTGTGCAGTCTCATATAATTGACTTGTTATTTCCAACTGAGATTGCTTAAGTGGTTAGGACTTGTGCATGATAACTTAATGGTCTTGAGTTCAAATTCAACACTTTTTCATTTTCTGATGGTTGCATCCAGAGGCGGACCCAATTTTTTTTCCAAGTGGTGGCACTATTTGACTATAAAATAATATCTAACTTTTCTTCTTTGCAATATTAGTATAGATCTGTTGGTCGGTTCCTTGTCCTTACATAGAAGAGAACCCATGTCTGCATCCTATTTACATGTATTTCTAAAAAACACAAGAGGTATATAAAAGAACACCAAAATTTAAGCTAAAAAGCAACAAATTTGACAACAGTGGGCCTCGAACATGGGACTTTTGTTCAAAGGCAGGAGCATTTAGCCATTTACCATCTCAGTCATTAAAGTCTTGTGCTAACATTTCAGTTTCAAAAACTATATGGTGGCACCCAACAAACAATACAGTAGCACCCTTTAGAAACGTAAACTTTTTCCCCTTATGACGGAACCATGAAGCGGTGGGCCGTGCCACCGTATCATTCCATGTGGGTCTGCCCCTTATGTGGTTTACTTTTCTTTTTAAAAAATTTATGAGACTTGCCATGTTCGAAAAACTACCAATATTTGTGATGAAGAATTTGGATTGGCTGGGTTGGTCACACCCTGTTTGCAACCCCGTAAACCCATGGGGGCAACAAGCCGTATGCAAAAACACATGTGATACAAGGCTTGTTGTTGTTCTAACAAATTTGCAATAAGTTTTTGGGCAAAATGCGTCAAAATGCAATGAAGTTTGCCTTAGTTCTTATTTAGTGTAACAAAGAACTTTTTCTTCTCAATCAATGTAACAAATTTTCAAAATCTCTTACTGTTTACTCATTTTGACCGGTTACATGTTGATTTTGTAACATTTGATAACGTGGATACCCATTTACGGAACTTTTATGGAAGGAACTTAACCAAACTTTGAGCGGTTATGTTAAATATGGATCCTGATCCATTGTAAACTGGTCTATAACTTCGCATATCCAAATATATGAGGTAACGGTTTACATATGGCACTTAAGACTATTATCCTTTATCCCTTTTTTGTATTACTTTGGCTTGTAATTTGTAAATGGTGCTAGCTGTCATCTTTGTACTATTAGGGTGCGTTTAGTACGCGGACAAGACTGGACAATACTAGAGTCAGGTAAGCGGGTGAAAGAATTTTGGAAGGTTTTAGGGTTTTAATTTGATATGAGTACTTTAGTAATTTACCAATCTTGTCACCAATCTCCCTGATTTTTAGGTGGAACAAAAAATTGCATTTTTGTCCAGTTCAGTCTTGCTTAATTTGATATGGATACTTTAGTAATTCACTCATTAGGGGTAAATTGGTCATTTTATAGTCATTTTATCTAGAGTACAGTTCACTTTTGGTCCCTAATGTTTGTCAATTTCAACGGTTTTTGTCCCTCAATTTTATTTTAACAGATTTGTCCCTCATGTTTGACACCTCACAATGATTTACGTCCCTCATCCTAATGGCCGTTAACTTTTTTCGTTAAGTTCAATTTAATGAGGGGTATTTTAGTCATTTTACCTGTTCTTTTGCTTTCTTGTTTTTACAAAAACCATCAAACTTTAGGGACCTGTTACGTAATTATCTCATACACACATATATATAATATAAATACACAGGAACCGAATCGTCGGAACCATCTTCTACGGGCGAATATCTCCTACTCTGCGAAGCCATCCAGCGGATCTTTGGCGGCCACCTTCTCTGGCGGACCGTTTAAACCAGCATCAAAGCTTCATGGGTTTTATTCCCCCCTCTCCACATTGTGAACCCCCACCCTTCTTTGTTTCCTGTACTCTTCTGGTTAGATTATTTTGGTGGGTTCTGCTTCTAGACAGCGAACCAATAGTCCCTTGCCCGCCTCCCGTTTAACCACTGGATTATCAACAGCTCGTTACATTTTTTTGGTTGGTTTTGCTTCTGGTTTGTTAATTTCTCTTGCTTATTCTTGAATTGGGATTTTTTATTTGGGACCTTTTCTTGTTCTGATTTAGAATGGTGATGGTTTGAAGCGGTTGCAAAGCCCAGATGGTTTCTGCAAATGTAAGGGGTTACAATGGTGGGGGAGGGAATGTACCATTGGGAAGGGGATGTACTGACGGGCTTTCTGTATTCAACATAAGGGGCTTCATAAGAGGCTTTGGGGGTTGACGTGAATTATGGTGTTATCGTGCAACCGTAGAAGGGCTTTTTAGTCAGAGGCTTTGGGAACTGCAGGTTTGGTTTGGAGTTACGGCCGGTGATGGAGTCCGGCGACAGGGCCACAGGGTGATGTGGTTTCCTCCCGGTGATGTGGTCCATGTGGTTTCTTTCGTCCCCAGTGATTTGGTCCCGGCAATTAGGTCCCCAACAGTTTGGTCCCTGTCTCTCTCTCTCTCTATATATATATATACTATGTTGGAGATAATTAGTTAATTACATAACAGGTCTCTAAAGTTAGATAATTTTTTGTACAAACAATAAAATCAAGAAAGCATGCAAAATGACTAAAATACCCTTCATTAAGTTGGACTTAACGGAAAAAGTTAACGGCCGTTAGGATGAGGGACGAAAACCGTTGCGAGGTGTCAAACGTGAGGGACAAATCTGTTAAAATAAGGTTGAGGGATGAAAACCGTTGACATTGACAAACTTTAGGGACCAAAAGTGAACTTTACGCTTTTACCTATTTTGTCCAGCCTTGTCTTACCAAACACTGAACAACTGTTATGTCCCGTGTTACTAAACGTTGGACAACTGTTCTGTCCTGTCCTGTTTGGATACCAAACGCACCCTATAGAACTCTGAAGGAATAATATAACCTGAGTATTCAATTTTTTTTTTAAATTGTTGCTACTACCATCATATATGTGATTGTTAATCCTAGCACCCTATGACGTAATAGTTCATGCCACTTAAAATCTTGCATTTCTTCATTTGTCTGGTAAGGAAACCGTTTTTTTCTCTAAAAATTTCATCATGTAACAGGAGAAAACAGGAGGGAAGATAATATATAGCAAAGGAGGAGTTGTGTATCTTTTCCGAGGTAGAAATTATAATTACAAGACTCGCCCGGTCTTTCCGCTAATGTTATGGAAACCAATTACCCCTGTATATCCGAGGTTGATCCAACGGGTCCCAGAGGGGTTAACATTGGAAGAAGCAATTGAAATGCGCAAAAAAGGACGACAATTGATCCCAATATGCAAGCTTGGTAAGCCTTTTGGATAATTTATATAAGATCATTTTTCGACGTTGTTAAACTGAAAAAACATTTTTACTCACTAGATATGCGTCACTTGATCCTATATCAAAGAGCGGGTCTTTTTGAACAAGTTATTTAAAATTTTAATTTTTTCCCTCAAAAAACCGCCATATTTTTACTTTTTACGTTATTATGAGTATTTGATAATAACACTTCTTCTAAACTCTATATGTATGAGATTTTGCTTTTTTCATATGAAATTAAATTGTTCAATATCATTGAGTAATAGTAGAATATATATATATACACACACATATATAATTATAGGGTCAGGTTCAGGGAAAACCCCCCCCAAATAAGTGAAAATTTGAGGAGCACTCTAATAATCGTTTTTCTGTACGGTATGCACGTTTTTGCATTATACACATGCGCATTCCATGCAGATAAACGATTATTAGAGTGCTTCTCAACTTTTCACTTGTTTGGGGTTTTTTCCCTGAACCTCACTCTATAATTATATATATAGACGAAGGATCGTGTGAGAATAGGAGTTAAGGTGAGGAACGTAAGAAGGATCTGGACCCTTAATCACTTTTAATCTCACGTTATGCACCGCATTAGTGGAGATCCCTGTTTACCCTTCTCACCATAACTTCCATTCTCACCGGAACCTAACTCTCTATGTATATTGGCTTGACGTCTTAAGTCACGCCTTCAAAAACATTGTGGGTTCGCTGCCACGCCACACCTCGTGCCATTTAGAACCTTAGTTATAATTCCTATTTCCTACAATAGAAGCATTGGATAGTAAATAATAAGACGTCGTTTAAGAGCCACTCTTGATATTGTTCTTATGCACTATTTGTGAAAACTAAATCGTTACACAATGACTCTTGCACGAAGAGGATCTCATAATTTTTAAGAATAAGGTACATATTTGGTAACATATCATAGGACATTTCATAGAAAACCAACTCTATATAGGATTCTTTTAGGGTTTGTATCATGGTTAGGTGGAAGATGACCCACAAATTATTATTTAGACCTTCTTGTTTGTATATTAAAATGGTTTGCTTGTGTATCAGGAAAAAATGGCGTTTATAGTGATCTTGTTAATGATGTCAAAGAAGCATTTGAAGCATGCGATTTAGTGCGAATAAATTGTGAAGGAATGAATGGGAGTGACTACCGGAGAATTGGTGCAAAACTAAAGGTATGTGATCGCTATTCATATACGCTTACTCTTAACCGGTTTTTCAAAATTTTATCATATCTGACTCTCTCTCTCTCTCTCTCTCTACGCATCATCTAAATTGGTTTTGCGTTTCTTGTATCTGCTTCTATTTGTATGACGTTGCCTAATCTTAACCGGGTTTTCAAAATTTTATCATATTTGACTCTCTTTTTGACGCACTTTTCACAAGTTGTTGGTCTTTATGGAAACAGTTGCTCTACTTTGTGGGGGTAGAGGTTAGGTCTACGTACGACTAACCCTCTGCAGACCGCACTTCCAATTATGATATACTAGGTTCATTTGGTTTGGTTACTTTAGAAGTGAGGGGTTGTTTGGTTGGTTTTCCATCAACTCCTATACTCGTGTATGGGTAAAGCCGTCTGTGTGGATTAATCTATCTGTATAGATTGAGAATTTTGTTTGAGAGGCTTTTATAGATGGAAGGATCATGTTTTTAATTGGGAGGGGCTGGTTTTGGAAAAACTTGGCTTTCTGCATAAAGCTCCACCCTAGAAGATTACTGAATAAGCCTCTTTCTATGTCATAAAGCCACTACCAGACAATCTACATATAGCTGACCAAATAAGTTGTGATCCCCATTACGCTCATTAAGCTGCTAACAAATAGGCCGAGTCGCACTTGCAAGATCATCAAAGGGCCTTTGGCCCATAGCGCAATCGGGCCTTTGCCTTCCTGGAGGTCATGAGTTCAATCCTTACCAAAGACGAGGAGGGTTTGTGAGTTTATTTGTTGCTTTTGTTGTATATAATCATTGTATATTTAAAAAAAGATCATCGAAATTGGCAATGTTTTTCCTGTACATGCCTCAATTCGTATGTTATTGCTTACTTTTAGCGAGCTTTTAAATTTTCAATTATATCTATTTGTAGTCGGTAATATCTTGTTTTTTGACGTTTCAGGATCTCGTCCCTTGTGTGTTGATTTCATTTGAGCACGAACACATACTTGTGTGGAGAGGGAGAGATTGGAAATCAATGCTCACACAAGAAAACGATCCCCAAGGAGCTAAACACCCTGATACGAATACTGATGCTGATATTGATATTGATACTGATGTTGGAAATTCAGTTGTAGTTGTACCATCCCTAGAATCATCACCGGAAGATGTGACTGAAGAAGAACACGCGGAAACCGAACTTATAAATTCTACACTCAATGACATGTACGGCGTCGAAAGCATGACACTTGATGGTAGTGAAGACGAGACTGAATCTTCATCTACAGTATCAGAAAACACGAGCAATCATGATTGTTTGGAGGGAGTGGCGACACTCTTGAAGCAGGCGGTACACGACGGAATTGCGGTGGTTCTAGATGATTCTTATTTGGATGCCGACACTGTGTACGCAAGGGCAGTTGTTTTTGCGCAATCGGCACCACCAGGGTCGAGTTTTAGACACCAGCGGCCTAAAAAGGCGGCGACCCAGGTAGAAGAGAAGCAAGAAGCCGAAGAAACCAATGGGAAAGAGGTAGTGATAGCTTCTGAGCGTAAAAAAGGCGAGAAAACAAGTCGAACCCGAAAGAAGGATTTGAAGGACAATTATCTAGACGTAGCTCCACAAGCGACGCTTAGAGTGGACGAACTTGCGAAGCTTCTAGGTTAAGCGTACGTTCATGTTCGTATTGCCTTTATGTATCGTTATCGTGATTTGCTTGTACAAGCGATGGATACCTTTGTACTTGGATGTAATTATATGGTGTATGTGAATTAGGAACTGGAAAAATGACGAAAGCAAATCCCGGGCCGTAATGGTTCGTTTGGTATACGGAAAAGACGGGACATGCCAGAGTGAGATAGCCGCCTTGCAACGCATCGATTGTGTTCCCATCCGAGCTTTGAGTTATCTATTTTAGAGCTCAAAATTGTGAAAGATTTTAGGGTTTTAAATTAAAAAGGGTAGTTTAGTAATTTATCAATTTTGTTTCATCTTTACCAATTTGCCAACATAACCATCTAAAAGATCAGCTTTTATACGGTTCAAGAAATTAGGGGTTCTCTAAAAAAACGTTGGAGCGTCAAAACGGTCGAACCAAGTCAAACTGAACCATTTTTGGCGGTTTGAGTGATCCGACTGTCCAGCCTGGTCCAAAAATAGTCAAACCGCTTGGTCTGGTCTGCAGTTTGAACGTTTTTTTGAGCGGTCTGAAACGAACCGATCGACAACATTACGCACGTAGTAATTATATGTAGTTTTCATGTTGTAGGCCTTTTATGAATCAATTAGAAAAAGTCCGTCAAAGGCATTTTATTTTTAGTCTTCATTTATCAATTGATCGCGTAATCTAAATTGACAAAATTCCAAAATCCATCAAAAATCAAACACAAAATTCCAGATCGTCCTTTGACGTAGTCAGCATTTATCCTTCCGACTATTGTTGATGGATTTCTTTAACTTCTTTTCAATTTTCTTAATGTTTTTTTTTTAATTTTAAAGATAAACGTTTCCTTTTTATTTATGTATTATGTCAATAGAAATTTCATTTTGGATATAGATTTATGTTTTTTTAGTTTAAAGCTTATAAGAAGGCCAAACCGTCTAAACCAATCAGACCAAACCGTCTTTTTGTGGTCTGGTTTGACCGTCTGGTCAGGCCAAACCACTCGGGTTGTAAAATTTATAAACCACAATTCCGGTTTGATTTTAAACCTTTCAAACCGGAACACGAACACCCCTAATTCAAATACACAACTTAAAAGTTTAAATCCTACAGGAGGCAGGTTTGAACCATTCGGCCGAACTGCTCTAAAAATGTCTTCTCATATGTCATTCTTTAGTGGCAGGTTTTATGTTGTACCACGTAATCAACCTTTTTTTTGTGATTAACCTGGATATTTAATCCGCTATGCGAGCCGACTAATCTCAAGGCAATCACCTGCTTTGCAGATAACCCAGAGTCACCGCATTTGAACCTCCATGGCCACAAAGACATTTTTATTCTTGTTTGTATTTGAAACTTTTTTTTTCAACTATTTTAAAATAAACATAAATTAAATTATTATTACTATTTTACGGAAAAATATTTGTTTAAAATAATAAAAAAATATTTTAATGAGAAATAAGAAACACGTGCCTGAAAAGAAAATGGTTTATTAGAACAAAGCGATCTTCACCAACTATTCTCCCTCTTGGCACAAGCTTCAGCTAGGGTTTGATCCACCCCACTCTCTCTCAACAAATTTCGGTAATTCTAATTGTATTTTTTGTTGATTTCTTCTCAAAAGTATCTGTTTTGATGTTATGCAGTCAAGCAGATTTGTTAATTGCTCAATTTTGTTGCAATTTTTGAGTAATTTAGATCGAATATCGAATGACTATTTGTTACTGATTAGTCCAAGTATGATGGTCGTTTAATCTGTTAGATTTTATAGGTTTTTTTGAAAGAATTTTCAGTTTCCTAAGTCGTAGCTAGTTTCAGTTGTCTTCTTTGATTTGTTTTAGGTTTTCAATCTATTAAAATGGGTCTGTTTCAGTCTTTCAGAGAGAGTAAATTAATGGTGTTTTCGATTAAAGAAACTTCGTAATTAATATCACTAAGTTGTATGGATTTTCTGTTTTAAGGTCGTTTAACTAGATAATTTGCTAAAATTGAATGTAAAAGATAGAAACAGAAAAGGAAAAAAAATTATATTGATTCCAGTAGCTTTGAACTGTTCTGTAAATTAAACAATAAGAAGGTGATGTTCATTTATTGTTATTACTTTTTAAGTGTGCACTCCATCAGTGGATGGGTTTGCTTGTTGAGTGTTAACAGAATCAAAAAATTACAGTGAATTATTTATTTGGAATTTTGCTACTGTTTTGTAGTTTTATCCAAAACAGAAAAAGATGGCCCTTTGGCATAGTTTGGATGACATTTCATGTTTTCTAGCAGTTTTATGTAGCTGAATGGTAAGAAGATGATGGTTTGAAGAGTCCATTGAGTTCTTTGGAATTTGGTTGGCAAGAAATGCGCTGAGTGTTGAGAGTGTGATTCATAAGTGAATTATATTTAAAATTAGCATATATTGTTTAGCAAACCAAATGGAGGATGATAATGGGCTTGACCTCACCTTATCCTTACCTTGTGGCGGCCCATCTGCTAAGGGTAAGAATGGCAGTGGTTCGGAGGTGAGAGTGGAGGAAGCTGATAGGGGTAGCAAATTGATTGATGATTTCAAGAACTTTCTTGATGGTAGTAATCATAAGGAAGAGTCCAATGTGGGTTCTCAGAGAAGTAATCAGTCAAAACCAGAGGAAAATCTCTTCTATGACCTTTCAAAGGGAACTGCAAATGTGGATTCCTCCTCAAACATAAACAGTGGAGGATTCTGGGGTAAAAATGATGGTAGATCAACTGAAATTCTAGAAGACAGGAGACAGGAGGCAGGTAGCAAGCGTAAAAATATGTTTGATGAAATAAACCATCAGAAACGACAGGAGAGAGAAGCTTATCTGTCTGGTTTGCATGTCAAGGCAAGGACACCACACGTCTCCATAACCACAGATGAAGGTTCAACAGCTGAAAATGAGGACGTTGCGGATTCCGAAGCCGATGCTTCGACCTCAAAGCTTGTTCAGCACCGTGACGATGCCTCAAAAAGACACACTGGGAGTGTTGGTTTATCCGAGGGGGCTAAGGAAGTTCGTGGGGTTTCTGATTCCAGTGGTGTAGACTTGCAAGCACAACGGAGATTTACCATTTCGTCAGAGAAAGAGTTTAAAGTTGGGCATGTGCCGCATGGTGTGCCGTTTTCAGGTCAATCAGCAAATATCTTGAACATGCCATATCCCTTGTCTGTGAAGGAGTCAAACTCTAACCCTGTGAGTGGAACTGTCACATCAGGCTACACGTTACCTGGTTCTATTCCAGTCATGGCTCCTACAAGTAACGATAGGCCAGGAACTCAGCAGCCTGTAATTCCTGCAAACTTGCCATTGATGTTTGGTTACTCTCCTGTGCAGGTGCCTACAGTAGAGGCAGGTAAGTCTGAGGGTCTTGTTTCTCATTCATCTCAGTATCACCCTTCCTATTTTGGCAGGGGTCCACCAAACTCGAATAGGCAAAATGATGGAGTGAAGATAACCCAAGGTTTTCTTTCTAACTCTTCAAACGTATTGGCCTGATGGTCAATTTGATGGATTTAAAAAAGAACTTAGATTTTAGTATGTTAACTTGTTCTCTTTCTTGCAACTTACAAATTACAATTGGATCATGTCATATTGTCATTCAGTTTGTGCATTGCTTTATGATCATGAGATATAGGTAAGCCAATATTCTTGTACTTGGGTAATTACTTGGTTTAACCTCTTCTATACAACCTATACAACCTATTGATGATATTATAGAGGGTATTTGGATGCGCGTTTTAAAAATGATTTATGTGATATGAAATAATTAAAACCAGATATCAATCATAATAAAACGAGCTGTAGGAGAAAGTGTTTGAATGTGCTTTTGCTATTTGAAGCTGTAATAGTCAAATAATAAGTTGTATGAGTGTTTTGCAACTTCTGATTATTTAAGGAACTAATATATAAGATGACCAAAAATAACATTGTTGTGAAAGAGGGAGAAGCGAATTGTGAAATGGGGGTAAAGTAACTCAAATTAGGTTAAAAGAAGCTATATATAGGTAATTTATTTTACCCTTCGAAACTGAGATTTCAAAACTGATTTAACCCCTCAATAATCAGATAATCAAAACAGAAATTGCTTAGCCTAATACTAAAAAGTACTATTGAAGTCACAGTAATCATATAATCAATTCCAAACTGCATTTCCAAACACCCCCTATGTTGTTGAGAGTTCCCTGTGCAGACCGTAAAATAGTAAGCAAGTGTATAGTTATGTACAATTACAATGCCAGAATGAAGAGAATGTTCTTAGATCTATTTAGTTGGTTCAAAATACAGGCAACAGACATAAGAGAGAGTAGAAAATTTTAACTGTAAAACTATATAAAAGATGTCAGGCATGCAAATAGTTTCTTTTTAGATATTGCTTTTGTCACAGTCAACCCACCCTTTGTTCTCTTTAACATGTGTGATTCTAGCCTTATCTAGGTGTTAGATATGAGTTATCTGACTGGATAGTGGTTTTGAAACTTTGATTTCCATGTATTGATTGTTATATTTCTTTTTGGCCCACACCATAGGATGTGATATTTCCAATTTCCAAATGCACATACAATTACACATCTCAAGTGTGATCCCAATTATGTAATATTCTTCATTTCACAATCCAAGCATCTTAAGAATATGGCCTTAGAATTTTCTTTGAAAGACCAAGGACTTTATGGTTAGCACTCACTTCTGAACATTATTTTACTTGGCACTTCGACTACCACTGTCTGCCTTAATCTGTTGCATTCTCTGTCTTATGTTTCCATTTCAAAGAGCCGTGATAACAGATTCGGTCATTCTTATTGGAAAAATGCATGGCTACACGCTGACTCCACTGGATTTTGAGAACTTCCAAGTGGATTAGCATGGCCAAACATCATTCTTATAATTGAAGATCGAACAACATACGTTTGAAATTTTAGAGCGTCACCCTTGTGAAATATGTGGAACCCCATCAAATTACTCTCCCTAAAAGCCGTTATAGGAAGAGTTATAGAGAGAGGGGAGTTTTCAACATATATAGAGGTTTGATGGTCCAATAGGAACACAATGTACTTGTATACCCTACCCTTCCAGAACAGGAGATACACTTTTTCTCTGGGTTATCAGCTTATGAGTTTTGATAATTTTTCTTACTTGTTCTTGGCAGTTATTTGCATCACTCATGGACATAAATTGTTTCTAAATGTCTTGACACATAGGGTGTGTGCGGTACGCATGACATGACAGGCTAGTAAAAAAAACTTGTCCCCCCACATTTGGTGCGATATTAGACCAGCACAAGACAGAATTGAGTGGGAAAAATGCGTTTTTCTGTCAGAGAGATGGGACAGTATTTGGTGGACAGGATTGCTAAATTATTAGACTACACATGTCATTCCAGAATTCTTTCACCCGCTTACCTCACTCTTGCTCGTTAGTTTTCTCTATGTACCAAAAGCACCCATGTAGTCTCTTATTTAGGATAGAGGAATGATGGTGAAATCTTTTATAAAGTAAGATAGTATGATGTTACCACAGACTGAATCTTTGAAATTATTTCTTTTTACTTACTTTGCTTCCGAGGTTTTCTTCTCTTACCTTTTGAAAATTATTGTAGCTACCACTCCAGTAAATGGACCGAATCCATTCGAGAGGGCAAAGGGCGATGATAAACATGCCAAAGAAGAAGGGACGTCTATGCATACAGAAGTTGACACGAAGGGTACCAATGGAATTGATCAGGCAAGGGTAGAAGGGCTTCCTTCCGAATATCCAGCCATAAGGCCTGGTATAGCCGCAGAACTGAAATTTGGTGGAAGTGGATCGTCTCCAAATCTACCATGGGTTTCCACAACGGGTCCTGGTCCTAATGGCAAGACGATTTCGGGTGTTACTTACCGATACAGTGGGACCCAGATCCGAATTGTTTGTGCTTGCCATGGGTCCCACATGTCACCCGAGGAATTCGTTCAGCATGCAAGTGAAGAACAACCCAACCCAAATGGCGGTGGCGGTGGCTCTGGTTTGCCATCGTTTCCCAATAGCAACCCGGCTGCATCTGCTCAGAATTGATTCCGCTTTAACACGGTAATACCAATTCTTTTCTCTAGCAGTTTAGGCTAATAAAAGTGGCATCTGATGCGAAAACTAACTGCTTATGATTTTGTCACTGTGTGATAAATACTATTTATCTCTTTATGTTATATATATGCATAGATTATCTATCGATAGTTATGTATATAGGAAGTTGTATGTAATGTATTTGCATTGTAGTATGTATGGGTAACAATAATTTGAGAAATGAAGTCATTGTAGTTTGTTAAAAACCAGTATCTATTTTTCTCTCAATATGTTATTAAAGATAGCAACTATCTAGGAAAGGAAGGTGCTTCTAGAGTTCTAGTTATACACACCCCTATTGATTTCCCATATCTGGTGCTTCTAGGGTATTTTTGGTATTAATTTGTTTGAGGTGGCTTAATGGGGATAAGTGAGGGATCCTAGCTTATTCCATATAGCCATTTTGGCTTAATGGCTTAATGATTAAGCATTAAAGAAACACTCCTTAAGTCCCCCAGACTATTAAGTTCATTAAGTTGTAAGTTAACATGTTTGTTACATCCCTTAAGAAGTAAAAATATAGGTACTGAACTTAAGTGTGATTTTTTATAATAAGATTATACATTATCTTATGAGATAATTTCTTTATCTTTAGATATGTGTGTATATATATTCATAGACATAAATCAAATGAGAACCTCAAAAATGTTGAGAACTGAGAGAACCGGTGAGAAATGTGTTCATGTGAAATATGGAGTGTTGAATCACATGGCGGAACAAACGATACATATCAAAATGTTTTGCATTGTGAAACAAATACATATGAAATAATATCTTACAAAACCAGCCTTAATTGAATAAATTTACGCGAAGCAACGCGTTAAGATTGGTTCTCATGGATTTTTAACATTTTTGTGGTTTTCTCACATGATATATGTGTAGTACTCTAATAATCCTAGCTTAGGAGTTAGGATCATTTAAGTGGTTTGCCTAGGTGTTAAGCTTATTGAAAGGACTTGTATAAGCTAGTTTTTTAAAAGCTACTTTAAGTAGCGTCTCAATAAGCACAAGGCATGGTTTTTTTCGCCTTTTTTCTTCCAATTATGCCCCTTATATTTTTCCAATAAATTTATCAACATGTCTTTTTAGGCCGTTTCAATTTGTCATATAACTTATCAGCTAGTTTTTACTAAACATGACTAATTTATCAGCTAGCTTATTAGCCAATTATGCCCCTACATACATATTCATGTATATATATAGGTATGCATGATTGAGCTACATTTCAACTCTCGTATTCGTTTTGAATCTGAATTAGGTTTTCATTGATGCATATACATTTTTTCTCATTTTTTTAACCCTTCTTATCGGCCCCATACGTGACGGGTTGAGGTCGACTGCTGCTGCTGCAAAAACCAATCCCATTGCATCATTATATACTTTTTAGGATCAATGTGTGTCTGATTTGCCTCTTAAATGATACGTTTAGGACAGGATGATGACGTGATGTGAGCCCACTTGAGGATTAGCGGTTAAAATTAGAAAATTTATTTGCTTTTTTTAATGATTCAAATGTTTTAAATCAATGTCCATATTAAATTATGTGGATTTTTTTAATTCCCTTTCCATATTTAATAATGAAATACATAAAATAAAAATGCTAAAATGATTAAAATGAAGGAACTTAGGGCTTGTTTGTTATAATAGTTTAATGAGGTTAATAGAACTCACAACTTATTCAGTCAGCTATACATGACTGTTTGTTAATGGCTTAATGATATAGAAAGGACCTTATACAGTAAGCTTTAAAGGTGAACTTTATGCAGAAAGCTAAGTTTTTTCTAAAGCTGCCCCTCCGAATTAAAAAACACACACCTTTCATCTATGAGAAAATTCTCCCAAACAAAAATCTTCTCAATCTATATAGACATATTAATCCAAACAAACAGCTTTATCCATACAGGAAAACCAACCAAAAAGCTTTATCCATACAGTTATGGTTTTGAAGAATATTTATTGGAATTGTTTATTATCTATTCTTAAAATTTGATTGAATATTCACATGTGCATGCCCACATAATATGCTGGTTGTTATGCCACATGCATATGCTGGCTGCTGCTGTTTCTGTTCGTGTTGGGAAAACCATTCCCCAAAAACTTGCTATTTTGGGCATGGAACTTTGAGGTATGAATTATAGGATATCATTTGTCCCCCTCCTTTTTAGGGAAATTAACGTGTCGGTTTGAGTTGCACACAGACCGGTCTTGGTTTCGGTTCTAAAAGAAGTCTAGTCTGGTTAATGCATCCAGAAAAAGGCGATAAGGGTTGGTTAGTTTTCCAAGTCTTGTATGGATAAAGCTGTCTGTATGGATTGAAAGGTTTTGTTTGGGAAAGTTTTTTCATAGATAGGAACGTGTTCTGTAATTGGGAGGGACAGGTTTGGAAAAACTTGGCTTTCTACAGAAAACTCTCGGATGGAAGCTTACCAAATAAGCCACTTTTTATATCATTAAACCACTACCAAACAATCTTGTATTGCTAACTGAATAAGTTGTGAATCCCAGTTGAGTTCATTAAGCAAGCTGCTAACAAACAGACCCTTTGACTGTTTTGGATTTGGCAGTGTAAAAACCGTTATAAGAAAAGAAAGTAGTAGATCTTTAATAAAAAAAGAAATAAGATTTAAAGCGGTGGTTTTTCAGTCCGGATTGTCTGACTAAAAAAATCTATTCTAATAAAAGGCGTGGCAGTCTGGTTTGGTCAAGATTGTACTGATGATATCGTGGTCGGGTTTTTGTCTGGTACGGTCCAAATACTCGTCTCTTGTGCTAATACCATGGTTTTACAATAGAAAAAGGAACTAGCACATTTATGTGGATAGTTATATCATGTCGATATTAGTCGAGTCCCTTGACACACCAACGAATAGCTTTTATGTTCTTATCAGTTTGAATGTTTCTCTTCGATTCAGGGGTTTAATTTTTCTTACAACAAATAAGGGATGTTATGATCGATTTAGAGACTCGGCTTGTTTAGAACGATTGTGTTCCAGAGGGAACAACCCTTTTTGTAAGAACGTGAGAAAACTTTTCTATATAGGTTTGTGGTGAGAACCGTGAAGATACATTTATATTATGTGAAAGTTACAATATTTACACAGTATAAATGTATCTTCACTGGTTCTTGCACCATCATGAATATGAAAATTTCTCCCATGATATTTGATAATATTTGTATAAAATAAAACATGGCATAAATTACATAAGAACATGCATCATACATTTATGATTTGGTAGCTATAACCAACTCCTCTAAGGGGCCGTTTACCAAATGCTTATTCGGATAAGTGCTTACCAGCAAAATTCAACATTATTACATACTTACCAGGTAAGATTTTAATCCACCAAAATATCAAATGTAACAATTTCCCGGTAAGCGTTATGGTATAAGTCATAGCTCTTACTTACTGGGTAACACTTTCAGTACTTGCCTTTGTTCTTACCGGGTAAGGTTCTTGGTACTTACCATATTCATCAGGTAAGATAATGTTACTTGATAAAACGTTTACCCGGGTAAGCGTTTGGTAAACGACCCTTAAGTACATCCATGAATCGCACTTTAGAAGGGAATTGATCCGTTGCATCTCGGTGCACTTTATTATTGTTGACATTCAATTATGATTGATCTAATGGTAGATATATCTTCTTACGCTTCTTACTATAACTTCCTTTCTCACCCAAACCCAACTCTTAGTAACAAGGGTTAGGGTTCCGATGAGAATGTAAGTTAAGGTGAGAAGCGTAAGAAGAGATATTCATCCTTATATGCACATCACGATAAGATGCACCAGATCAATCCTCGTATCAAACGCGATTCATGGGTAGGTTTAAGATTAAAGGTGATCAAGGGTCCAAATCCCTTTTTACGTTTCTCATCTTAATTCTCCTTCTCACACAATTATTCATCTGTTACTAAATGGTCTAATTATATGGAAATACAGAAACAATTGTATTTTTAAAAGACAAGTTAAAACAAAAAAACTACATACAAATACACAATACGTAGTGCAATAGAGGTTACATCAGTATTAGGGACTGAATTCGAATCAAAATTTAACGTATTTTCTTTTAATTATTTTGTAGGTAATATACTTTTAAAACATTCATTATAAATGTGTGTGCGCCTCTGTATTTCTCTTTAAAGCAACAAATATATTAAAGGGACAAAACCGAAGAGTCAAAAGCAAAAGGCAGACTTTTCGCAAGCTATAGAAACCAGACAAAAGAAGTAGCAGATCAAACAAGCAACAAACCTACAAAAAAGGGAAAACGAAGTTCATCATCATTGCGTTAAATAACAAAGAACTACCCTTGGATTGCAACACCAGTTCGGAAAAGAAATTGAATATCCAAAACCAAATCAGATTATAAAGGAGGTCGATACAAAAAAAAAAAAACTACTGTTATTATCTGAAAGGGTAAGTTGCATGAAAAAACAACGTACTTTAACTTGATTCCAAATTTTGGGTAACGTACTTTCAGAACTTCTATTTTGGTACCCAAGATGTAAAGTTTTATACATTTAAGTATCCGGGTAACCGGTTGAATCATTAACCGGTTACCATGTTGATGTGGCGAGTGATGTGGTATCCGGTTAACGTTTCAGCAAATAATACTGAGTTGGATACCACATCACTCACACATCAACATGGTAACTGGTTAATGTTTCAACATGTTACCCGCGTATTTAAATGTTTAAAATTTTACGTCTTAGGTACCAAAATTGGAATTCTGAAAGCACGTTACCCAAAATAGGAATCAAGTTAAAATACATTATTTTTTCATGCAATTTGTCCAATCTGAAATGTGTGTTTGTTGTTTTGTATTAAGAAAAATCTATTTTTTGTCCAAAAATATTATATTCTACCTTGTTAAAGTTGGTTTTTTGAATTTTAAACATATTCTATAAAATTAAGATTAATTATTAAAAAAATCAATTTTATTTTATATTTCTGATGAGGTCACTAAAAATTCAAAAATTCACATGTGAATACTTAAGTTTAACATTTTTTTATTTAAAATAATAAATAAAGAAAAGGCAGTACATATTCTCATAAAGAAATAGAATGTGGGATTAAAATAATATAAACCAAAATTTATTTGTCACTATATGCATCTAATTTAGAGTAAATTGCAATTTTAGCCCTTGAAGTTTAGTGAAAGTTTAAAAGTTGGACCATATAACTTTAATAAGTCTAGAAATCATTTATGTGGTTTATTTCGCTAATCAAAGTGATTCTTAACCGTTAACTTTGTTTGTTTATTTCAATAGAGCAAAGGACATTTCAGTCTTTTCATCAGTTTTTTTTTTCTTTTTTGTTGTCTTTTAAAAAGTAACAGATTTTAAATTAAGAGAGAAACTTCAAAATAAAATATAAGACAACAAAGTATGTTGTTTTTAAAAAAAATGTAGATTTTGATAAAAAGACTAAAATACCCTTATGGTTAACTAGAAAAAATAAACAAAGTTATTTTTAAATATAGCAAGTGAATGAAAGTCTCAGGTTCAAATTCAAGGAAGAATAAAAATCTCTTTGTGTGGCTACTGAGGTTCAAATGCGGTGACTCCAAGCGATCTATAAAGCGGATGGTCGTTCTAAGATTAATCGGCTCGCATAGCGGGTTGGATGTTCAAGTTAATAAAAAAAACGAAGTTAACAACTAGATATCAGTTTTAGAACAAAATAAAAGAAACACAAAAATGAGTCCAAGATTTACTGAAGTTTAGGTTAATTTAAGAACTTTTCACCAAACCTGTATGACCAAAACTAAAGTTTTCTGTTTATTTTAATTAATGTATACAATAAAACATGGGCATCAAAATTATATTTAGAAGTCAAAATATGTATTAATCATTGGCCTCTCCACCTCTCCATCACTATAGAGTTTAATACTTTATACTCCCTATACCTATATATATAGACTTGGGATCATGTAAGACCAGCCTGTTTTCGTGAGACCCGTGAGACCA